AACTACTTTATTGCATGTGTCAAAATACATACTTTTGTAGTGGTGCTTTATATCACCTGATCACTCGAGTGTATTGATATGTAAAAAGTAGTGCCGTCAGTGTAACTGAAAATTGCGGAATAAAAGTTAAATTTGAAAGTTCTCTGGTTTCTTTGATGTTTCGTGTGTTCCTGAGTCAACACATCACACTGATCATTACGTGGATGAAATTATAGCTTTGTATTTGCATATTAACTCAATAAAGTATGCCCTATATGGCAACAATTACAGCTGTCTCTTGAAAATAATACTTTGAATTAGAGCTGTGGTGGACATCACATGATAAACAATTCATGCAAAACTACAAAGTCTCTGTTGTCAACGGCAATATTTACTTTATATCTCCATGCACACCCAAAATATTAACAGGAACCATATTTTTGTATCAGATATATTTTGTTTACATCAATAAAATGTCTGTATGTTTAATATTGAAATTGCACGAGAATAAACATGTATTTTGTAAAGAAACTTGTTAACACTTTGTTGATGTAACGTTTTGAACATTTTTATATATTTTTCGATATTCTCGAGGGCGGACCTACATTACAAAACGCTCTATGCTGCAAAGATGCGCACTACTGTACCATGTCTTCATATGGGCTCTGCGCGAATGCTGTGGAACACTGGTCGAAGTACTGGTGAAAACAGCTAAAGTCAGGAAAACAGCACAAACTCAACTATGAGACAATTCTGAATAACCAAATTTATATATATTGCACATATTGGGGTAACTTTGTTACACTGTTCAGGAGAATCTCAACAATTAGTCTAATGTACAGATTTTGAAAGTTTTCAACCTTTGTTTTCACCAGTTCTGGTTGCCAGGTTGTGAAAATACTCCCATGTTTGGTCCTAAGAATATTCTTTTATTAACTTCAGACCAAATGTACATAATTCTCCCTTGGCTACACGTTTTGATTAAATTTTCTGAAATAAATAATGTGGGTTTTATTTTGTGAAAAGTGACAAAAGTTGGTTTTGGCGGTTAAAGGAAATTACTTTACCTAGAGACAATGAAACCCATAGCAACAGGCTGGACACCAGCAGAACTGCAACAGTTAAAACACTAAAGATTTAATTAGGTAACTTTATTGCTGACCTCTCTGAATGCACCCTACAAGTTAGCACATCCCTCGGGTCAAAGGTAATCCCAAATGAGGCCTGAGTTTGCTATTGAGAAACCCCAAGAGCAGAGGGAAGAGTTCTGAATGTGCATGGATATCCAATCCTGAAATGTGGATCAGGATACCTTCAGTAAAAAAGAATTCAACATTAAGGGGTATTTTATTTCAATCAAGATTCTGACAAACACTTACTAGTCTCACTTGTACCATATTGCTCACTGTAAAGTCAAATTAGTCTCCTATTCACCTTGCATTGTATTCACTCATTGGAGAGTAGCACTTTAAGCACAAAGCCAACCTATCAAGTGGACACATATGAACAGAAATTAATGAAATACACAATTTATATGTATTTGACCTTGGTTAGAATAAATTCATTGGCAGAGAGCTTGACTGAAAGACCTAGGATGTCAAACCTGAACTACAAATTAGCGAATTAGTGAAAACTGATGTTGTTTTTAATGACATGTACTATCGGCACAACAACAAGGACTGAATTCCACAAACCAATTAAAGACACAAGTAAAATTTTCACTTCTACAAAATTCTCAAATATGTTTCTCTTGACATAATACCCTTCCAGTGCCAAGTCAACTTTTGTTACCTTCCATAAAATAAACCTGCATCTATTTTTTTCCACAAAATAACAAAGAAGTGATAGAAAAATACATAAAATGCGCAAAAAGTAACGCCTAAATGTTGGTGGGCAGGGGAAATCTTGAATCTTGAAAATTTTGATGTAAAATCTGTTCCTCCAATAATCCTGTTCTATAATTTGTTGGCATTATTTAAAATGGTAGCAACTAATTTAATTAGTTAGAAATTAATTTAATAATGCCAAATTTGACATATTTTAAATATTTTTTTGACATACTGTATTTTGCACATCATTCTATATCTAGTTTGTAAAAATGAATTTTATGCTGTATACATCACACAGACCCACATCGAGCACAGCGATTCACAATGGCACTTTTAAGATATTATAACTACTCAGTTTTGAAGATAAATAACGAATATGTGTTTTTACTGCAAATATATGGTGTTGAGATTTGGCAGCTGAACTAAATTACCCAGAATTCCATAGAGTGACCCCTGAGTTCATCACATGAGAGGTATAGGATGTTGCTTTGATTGCTATTTACACTCAAAACAACGGGAAATATGTCTCAATATTTGTGCATTTGTAGCTTTATAAATGACTCCAGGTTTTAATATCTGACACTTGATATACAAGTCAATAGTATTGGAGCGTGACTGAGAATTTAAAATGAAGAAAAGTCAAGTAATGTTTGTTTTTTTATTTCTACCCTGAGCCATATCATGTTATGTAATGAAGTATGTAAAAAGCCTGAACCATTGTAAATGGTGTAGAAAATGTATTACCTGGTTGTTTGATATATAATTTTTTGCATTATCTTTAACTTTAATCCAGTTATTTCTATGGAAAAATTCTGTTCAAATTGTTTTATTCTTTTTTACTCCTAAGTTTTCATTATATTAATTTAGGATTCAACATAACTTATCTTTCACACCTCTATTTTGTACTAATGGTACACAGGATACATTATTGAGATTTTTTAATTGACTCCTGAGGGTTATACAATATTTTTCCTGATTTCAGTTGCCAGCAGAATTTACAATAATGGATGGTTTGAGCTGCTTTAATCAATCTTTGCACATTATCACAGTCCCTTATGTGTTGCCTCATCATGTATTGTACTAGTATTGTTATTTACAGAATTGAACAACTTGACCATGAATTAAAGACATTAAAGTCAGCGTACAACTCCCTGCAATCAGAACATAGAAAAAGAGAACTGATAATAGACCAAACACACCAAGCACTGAAAATGTTGGAAGAAGACAACATTAATGGACAGAGAGTAAGTCTATAAACCAGAATAAATCAAAATGCAATGACAAATATTTTTCATTATTTTTTTCATTTATTTATATTGCAATGTTCTTATGCACAACAATTATTTTAAGATAAATATTTATATATTTGTTTAAATAATACTAATAATACTAATAAATATAAACATTTTTTTTCAATTTTGGTATTTTCGCTGATCCCTAATTCTGCCAAATTTAGTGCATGTGGACATGGAAACTCTATGAATTTGCTCAAAATGTCAAAATAGTGAAATTAAATACCAGTTGAAATTAATGCATTTACAGTAAATGAAAGTAATAAGTAAATGAAACTGGCAATTGTCAGGATTGGCCTTTATTTTACGAAAAAGCAAAATAATTGGTTATTAAAAATTCAAAATAGCAACAATTATTTTTAATTAATTTTAAAACAAAGAAATTTCTTCATGATATGCATATGCTTAGTGTCATGATCAGTAACAGACAAGACAACTTTTTTTGAAATTTGAAGGGGAAAAAACACTTATGGCGTGATTTGCAGATCATTTCGTACAAATTCTGAATACAAATATTTAAAATTTGTTTATTCAGACTAGAGAAACAATGTTGAAAGAGGCGGCTGCGCTGCGGGAAGCGTTACAAATGGCGAAGTTAAAGTGTGAGAAACTTGGAATGGAGAATGAAGAACTTGAGAAGATTAGAGAGGTGAGTAGAAATAATGTCTATTTCTATTTTATAGCTCTCTATATGTGTTAGGGCCGTGACAAATTAAAACATGTGCACAAAACGTACCATCTCTTTGTCAAAAATATAAAAAAAATCCTCTTACTATAGACAAAAGTATGCAATTTGAAGAAATACATGGCAACAAGATTCCATTTAAGTTGATAGTGTCGCATTCAATTTGTGACATGTCTTTTTCGCGAATTTAGCTAATTTCGCTAATTCAAGATGTCACTCATGAATTTATTATAAAAAAATCAAAATGGCCAAGGCTTAGGAATTTGTATACAGTAATCCGGAACATAAAAATCTGGGGCGCTTCCTAATTACAGAGTTTTTCTTTGTTTTTATGGAGGTGATAACTGCGCATTTGTTTTGGCACGTGACAGACAAGTATTGTGAAAACAGGAAATCAACAATGACCAGAGAGATTCGCTAATTAAACATTTCGCTATTACGTTATTTTACCACAATTTGCTGAAATTGCAAGTCGCTTTTTCATGTTTTACAGTATGACACCAGAAGGAAAGGTAACATTATTTAGACTGCCCTCTAGAGGCAGATACACATATAATTTTTTGGTTTTCTTTTCTATAGGTAAGAGAGTCATCGTCTGCTCAAAATTCCGACTTGACCAATCAGCTAGCAGAAGTCAGACAAGCTAAGGAAGATCTACAGAATCAAGTTGAGGTTTTAAACCGAGATTATAACCGGACAAAAGAGGTTTGTGATCAAATACTGACATGGGGGATTTGACATTTTTTGTTAGATACTTTTTAGGTGTACAATACAATCAATGAGAATTTCTCAGTTATTTTTCCAGAAACATGCAATAATTTGTCATTGTTGTTCAGAAATAGTAAATTTTTGCAAAAATAGATGTGTCATATTGGACTGTAGGTTATAGGGAACTTTACTCCCTGAAAATACCAGTATGTGTGACCTTTAGGGTCAAGCATTAAGCCAATCCACTAGCACAGGATATCTTGAGAATGCTTATAACACTCATATATCATTCTCTTTCTCTGTGCATGTTTATTTTGTTTGGTTTTTTACATAATTGTCATGAAATACTACAAGAAACTTTTTTTTATTGATGCATGCTAATAAAAAACGAATTGTTTCAACTCTGAATGATAAATAATATCTTAAGAAAAATTGCAGCACACTGTGTTCTGAATGGCCATAATGAATGATTAAATTAAATCAACCACCCACCATCTCCATTCACTGTATCGAGTCACAATAAGTTACTGTAAAATACTTTATTTTAGCTGAAATTAATTTTTGTTGAAAAGACTTTTTGGATGATTTGTATGGGGTTTCTTTTCACTGATTCTTGGTAATTTGAATGTAAAATATAGGAAAAAATGTATATTATTTTCACTGAATCATCCCTTCAGCGAAAATAGCGAAAATAAATTCCAAGCGAAAATAAAGTATTTTACAGTAAACCCTATTTACTCTGTATATTCATACTTGAAAATTATTTTGATAATGTGGCTTACCCTTACAGTGAACAGTAACCACCAGGGAACTATTTGACTGTAATTTTCTGATTTGTTCATTTCTCCAGGATAGAGATGAGCTCAAGAAAAAGGCTGTGCACTATGAGGAAGCTGTGGCTGACATCAACTCCAAATATATCAGTGCTAATGCTGAAAAAGAGAGACTATATCAAGAAAGATTGGACTTGTATCAAAAGTTACAACAATTAACTGTTGAAAGGGAGCGTTTACTGAAAGTGAGTTTATGAGGATGACTCTTTGAAACTTGTGGGAGCTTTTGAAAGAGCCATGTAAAGTATTTAAGGCCTTGCAAAAAAAATGTTTTCTGAATTTGTTTTTACCTGACCATAGACCCTCCAGTAGAGGGTCTATGACCTGACCTATTTTTTAGGCCTTATACTATTTTTTTTTATACTTTTCCAGCTGGTGACTATGCAAGCCCATTTTGGGTAGATCTTTTTATTGACACCTACCCCCATTTTATTTGCCAATAATTACAGTTTGTCTCTCTCAGTTCAATAGAATTATTGTGTCTTTGTCTTTTCAGGACAAACATGGTGTAGACCAACAACTTGGCGGAGTACAGATTGAACTTAACCAGACTAGATGTGACTTGGAGAGAAAAACAGAAGACCTGGAAAAAATGGAGGAAGAACTCCATGCTGTGAAAAAGGTATTGAAAAATGACTTGTCATTGATAATGCAAAACTTTCAAGTGGAGTATTTGAGACATTAGTGCAAAAACAGAGAGCAGTGGAAGTAGTTCTTCAAATGCAACAATGTACGTACTAGCCATCGTCATTACTTTGCTTGTCAAAGTTAGCGCCTATGCTTGACTACTAAAGCTGCCTTTTCAACTTTCGGGTCACTTCCGGCTAAACTCCCATCCATTTCAAAATGCCCTAAATTTTATTGTCTAGTCATAAAACCTGGTTCTTTGAGCATTGATTGACTTTTCTGAATACCAGTAATCAAATTTATATAATACAGTGTGGATATCAAAAATTGCTAATTACCATTTTTTTTTATAAAAAATCATGCACAAATCACTTCCAACAGATCATACTTTGGTAATTCATTTCAATACAAGAATACCTTCACTCGCAGAATGCGTCAGTTACTGTTAATAACAGACTTGATCTATTAGGTCAAAGGAGGTTGTTGCAGGTCAAATTGTGTGAGAATTAAAACATCATGACAGAAATGGTTTTACTTTGAGTGTTTGTATACAATCAAACATGTTTTTTTTTTTGGAGCTGAATACCCTGAGCACTAAAGCAGACAATTGTATGATATAACAGGAGGCAGTATCTGTCAATTTAATTACTGCACATCTTTTTTTTGTCCCCACAATAACTCGAAACAAATTTGAAATAATTACTCTGAAACATCAATATTACCCGGTAGCTTGAGTGAGTCCTACATGCATGCATAACTGACTATGTATTATGTGGGGGAAATATTCTAGCAACATTAATGGGTATAAGAGGAAACACTGTTCACAACAATTATTATGCATTTTTTATGTCGATAGGTTGGTGAGGTGCTATCCAGTGAAATGGCCAATGCTAAAATTCAGATGGAGAAAGCACAAGAGCAGAGTAAACAACTCCAGTCTGACAAGAGACTGTCCTCTCAGCAACAGACATTTATGGAGGATGAAATAAAAAGACTAAATTCGGATAAAGAAATTCTCTCACAGGTAGTAAAGATGTTTTACAAACAAAATTGTGATTGTCTAGATATTTGTTAAGCTGTTAGCCAATCAGAAAGAAGCTTTCATTTAATTTGAAATTTAACTCTTTAAAGTTGACATTTTTCACCTTTTGCAAAATTAATTTGCATGATTTTTTTTTCAGATTGTTTTCTTGAATGAATGCTATAATTTTTCTCGCTAAAATATTGGGGCAAAACGTTTCTGTAATTTTTTTAACAATTTTGGACCAAGTGATTTCCGTTGCCCACAGGTCCTACTGAAAATGTATGAGAAAATGTATGCAGGTATTTTTTGTGAAAGATGACAGAAATTTATTTTAATAAGCGAATTGATGACACCAGTAAAATATTGACTCTCACAGCAGTTTTTCGATGACTTGCAAATTTCATTATAAAAACATGTCCCACGATATTAAAATCTGTTTGCAGTATGATGTCATATATTGAGCATATGGGAAGATGCATATTTTTTACTTTTTACATGTGTGTGCTAAATTTAAAATATATTTAGTAATAGTATTTCATTAAAACAGTTAGCAGTGTTAATTTTCACTTGAGTTATTATTATATGTTTTTTCCACACGTCTTATCTCCCAGGTGATAGACAATTTGAAAGAAGAACACAAGAACGACAAAAGCAAATTAAATGAACATAACGTCAAACTCAAGGAACATTTAAAAGAAATGAGAAATGAAAAGAATCATTTACAAACGAGATGCCAAGAACTTGACACGGTTAGTACATTTTTGGATTATCTATATTTAATTGCTTGAAATTTGTTTGCTTTACATAGTGTACTGGACTGATTTATGCTGTGCCAATAAAAAAGACAAATTTTTAAAAAGTAAATGAAAATTGTTATTCACATATGCTAGAAACAAACAATACCATATTTGTTCTATTAGTAGTTCACATGCTTGTGTAAATGACAGAGGTGTGTCTTTGGGCAAAATATGTCATATGTTAATGATCCAGTAAATAAATGTATATGTTGGTTTACATGCACTTCTATTGGTGTTTTGACTATGGCCACAATATCACCGAAAGTCACTCAAAAGTTTGCTAATTTCCTCACTACTTTGCTACATGCCATCCATTTCACTGAATTGTTTAGGCAGAATAAACCATTCAGCAAAGTTGCTGACAACGTTGCAAAGTAACAATACAATTAGCTGACTGTATGAATGACAAAGGTTATTCAGAAATATTGATGTCACAGTAATAAAGCAAATATGGTATGTTTCTAGTACCTTGCTCACACTAGCTATAGAGGGCTCTGTGTAAAATCTACAGTGAGAAAGAATCCAAATCATATCAGTCTAAAGCACAACAGTCAACAATCTATTTTATGTGTTTTGCACTTGTCGCACATTTTAGTATAACCATACTTTCTGCACCTGCCTGTGTGTGTTCTTACAGAAACTGCAACGTGCCAACAAGGAAGTGAAGCAATATTCGATGAATCGTCACGAAGAGCTGAACGAGTGGAAGAGTACATGTGAGAGACTGACAGCAACCATTAACAGAAAAGAAAGTGAAATTATTGCATTATCTACTAAATTACAAGAGGCTAACGATAAGGTGTGTAAAAATTCTATTCAAAAATCACAGTGTCAATTATGGTCGAACAAAGTGTGGATTTGCCAAATGTTGCATCAAAATTCTGGCCAGAAAAAAATGTTTCAATGGGTTAGAAAGTAAAACTCAAGTATTTTGGTTGGGTGAACATCCGGGCATTTTTACCGCCTGGCAACCATCGCGGTGAAAACAAAGGCCGAAATCTCTCAGAAAAACTGAACTTTGGCAAAGTTGTTGAGACTCCCCTGAACAGTGATTATCCCTACATGTGCAACATATATACATTTGGTTGCTGAGTATTATTTCAAAGTTGAATTTGTGCTGTTTCCTCGTCTTTAACTGTTTTCATTGGCTCTTCGACTGGCATTCTACAGCACCTCGCACAGAACCCATAGAAATACATGGTACAGTGGTGTGCATTTTAGCTACATAGAATATTCTGTGACACAGCGTCGCTCAAGAAAATCCTAATTATCGTTTACGAAAATATTCGGAACCTTGAAAATAATTAAATTCACTTTTCAATTCAAATTCATTCTCTCAGAATGCTCAACTTAGGACTGATAGCCAGTCGTTACAAATGCAACAAGAACACTGGACAGAAATGAAGGAAGAATTTGAGAGATTACAGGAGGAGAATAAAAGGCTGGTCCAAGAACACGCAGAAGACCAACAAGTTATCCATCTTTTGGAGATGCAGAAGAACATTCTGACAAAAAATAATGTAAGTCATTAAGGCTAGGAGAAAATGACTCTGCACAATTCACAATATTAACACATAGCAGAGAAGAGACTTAATTTCTAGACAAATATAAACCAGCAGACATAGACCTTTAGAAACACTGGGTGGGATTTTGACAATTTGATTGTTTATACATACTTTGAATACAAAAAACGAGTACTATAAAATACTTTTTTTTCGCTTGGAATTATTTTTACTGAAGGAATGATTCAGTGAAAATAAAATCCAGCAAATATACTTTTTCTTCTGCATTTTACATTTAACTCATCAATAATCACTAAAAATATTCACTGAACAAAAATTAATAAAGTAGGTGATGGCATTTTCACCAATTCTAATAAATAAATGAATGAATTAATACTCATATTCGTTAGCTTGTTGTGTTATTCTGGTTTATTGCTTCATAACTGTTGTTACTTTAGAAATATAAATGTTCTGACAATGGTTTTTATTTCATTTTAGCCTTCAGTGAGTCCAAGATTTACTCAGGAACAGCTACAAGCCCAAGTTGATCATCTCAAAGCTGAACTTGGACTTGCACAGTAAGTATACAAAAGGAGATTATTTCCCTATTCTAATAGCGAGTGCAACGAGAGGAGCCAAAGGCCGCTCACAAAGCGAGCTCTATAGATGTGTGTATATAGAAGAGTGTGGAAGAAATCTATATACCCTAAAAGTTTGAAAATGGTACACTTCAAGTCAATGGGAGCCGCCATTTTGTTTGTTGTTTCATACTTTACGTGAAGTGAAAAAGCTCATAAACACAAATTTAGAATATTGTTAAATAATAAGGCGCTCGATTTCTAGCAACTGACTGAAAAAGGTTTAACTTTCAATCATGTTTTGTTTCATTTTTATCAGCGGTGAGACACGAATCATGTGTGGCGCCATCTTGAATCCTGCTAAACTTGCATGTGAACTAATACTTTTAATAATAATTTCTGCAATTCACAGGCTTTGACATTCTATGGTTTTTTTCAGTTATTTTTTTATTTAGTAAATAAATAAACTACTTGACTCACCAGGCATTGCCTGCTACATATTATATTCTAATCTTGTTTTCATATAATTCTATTTTTGTATGATAGGGATAAAATAACTGAGTTACGAAATGAGTTAGATCGCTTCAAGAGAGCTTCCATGGGTGAATTAGACTTGACCTTTGGCAGCCATGACATGCCACGGAGACGATCCGTGGGAGCAGATTCCTATGAAAAATGTAATCAACTTGAAGAGGAAATCTCCAGAATGAGAGATATGAATAATCTATTATCAGAAAGGCTGAGTAAGGTAAGATAGTGGTTGACAATATCTCCCATTTAAAAACAAAAGATTTTATAACATGAGTGTATGAGGGCAGTGCTTCTTTTTGATAATATATGCATGCTCTGGACTTTGTTATCTACTGAGGTATGCAGAATTAACTTTGATCAGTGAATAAATAATAAATACTTATTTCACATAATTGTGGTAAAGATATGTCAATGGGAAACCATGTCCATTTGGTTCAAATTTAACAAAAACAATTACATCTACAGAATAATACTTATATGCAAAATTTTGGTAAAGAAAATAATAATGGTGTTTAAAGTCAACTTTTACAACTTTTCTACAAAATTAAAATCATATACATGTATTTGTTTTCAGATTTTGTTCAAAACTGTAGCCTATAGGAAATTACATTTATTATGATCAAAATTATCCAAAATATTATAGAAAAATACAATAAAATTTTGGTGGAAAAATGATGATGCTCAAAGGATTAACATCTCCACTAACATTATAAATTGTACACCATAAAAACAGAAAATAAAAATGTTTCCATAGTATTTCAAAAATGAGACTTGTGGTCGATGGAAAAACGTGTTGTTAAAGATGTGCAAAATATGACATCAATATTTTTGGCAGCAAAAAAAATAGCTTGGTGGCGTAGTGATGTGAATTCTAACAAAAAAAAAAGAAAAAATAGTATTTATATTTACCTTATTCCATGAAAATAAAAAAAAAAATGAGACAGAAACAAATTGATTATTATTTACTTATAAACTAGTTCAATGACTAACATTACCTCATGATTTTATTTTTGCTAGGCTGATGCTGAGTTGAGAGCTCGCCCAGAACACGATACGTCTCTACGACTGAATCTGTCTTCACTGTCAACCGAGAATACCAATAAAGTCTGTGATAAATGTCCTGATTTAGAAGAACAAATCACAAAACTTAGAAATATGATTAGATTACAGAATTCCAAAGTTGAGACATTGGAGAAACAGAATGATGAGTTGAGATACGCAGCACCAGTTGGAAAAGTTATACCGCAGGTTGAATATGACAGGTTAGTCACTTAGCGACTACTACATCTCACTCATGATTTCATCTCATCCTCTATCCATGCCCCACAATGCATTGTAAAGTCTTTTAAAACTAGTCAGCGATAGCATAGTGGTTGTAGCAACACACTCATGATTGTTAGACCCAAGTTCAAATCCTTTGGTTGAACATTAAAAAGGTTGACCCCTTCCCTGGGCGAGTGTGCCACAGACTCGACATGAAACTAAGATTCATTCGCGACTTGGGAATCTTGGTTAAGGTCCATGGGTGCTTGTGTTTGACTAGGCCTGGTTAACACCAGGATGGAGCATTAAATTGCCATAATGCCATTCTGATAAGAACATTATCACACAGCCCTGTCACATAGTCATAAACTGGAATATGGTCTCTTTGGCAAAATGCACTATATGTCAGCACTGACACTTGCAAATTGCACAAAAGAAAAGTCAGGAGAGACAACAGTGACATTCAATGTCCAGAACTGTCGCCTGACACAAAAATATTATTAAATAAAAAAATCACTGATAACATTTACATAGAGAACAAAAACGATATTATAAAGGATTTTAAATCATCAATCATCCCAGATACAATAACAATATTTCAACTTAATATTTAACAAAATGTTGGAGCAATATATACATGCACACATCATACACTTTGGAATATATAAGCACATGTGTTCGTTTTTTGATTCAATTCAAGATGGCTGAATGATGGTCATTTTAGTGCTAATAATTCATCACAATCAAACATTTCTGCCAATTTGTAACCGGATCGCAGTCACACATTAATTGGTACATACATCAATTAAACATTATGGTACCTTAATGCAAGTCACTTTATTTTGTAGATCAAATTCAAATTGATTGACTGGTGGCAATTTTGTTGCAATTTTGTGATTACATTTCAATTGCAGCTTATAGTTTTATTGTCGTTTTTTGTTACTTCAGGATGGTCAAAGAAAGAGACAGAATCCGAGAAGATTATGAGAGCGTTAAAAATGACTATGACGAGCTGGAATCTCGACATAGAAGATATTTAACCGATCATATTACAAGAACGTTAGATAATCCAAGATCACCTTCCAAAACATCAGATTCAATAGGTAAGGATGGTTTACTCTCAGAAGTCTTAAAATATAAAAGTTATAATCGTGTAATGATTTTGAGTATCGCTCAGCAAACCAGCGGCTTAGCTGGCAATTAATGTTGCCATTTTGTTGTCCTAAACAATATCACAGTGACTAAATATGAATTTTATTATTAATTTCTTTAGATGGTAAAAGTGTGGAATATGAACAGCTAAAGCGATGTAATGAAGACTTAGAAAAAAGAATTGATCTCTTCCAAAGTCAGTCCAGCTTGGCGGAAAATACAAAGAAACGTACAGAAGAGAAAATACGTAAGGCTTTGAGATTCAAACTAGGTCGTATTAAGTAATGATTTTTCTTACTGAAAAAAGTAGAATGTTTACTAACTTGATGTACATATACTGACTCTGGTGAATTTTCTACATAGCTCTGGTAATTAACAATACCGGTAACCTTAAAAATAGTTCTCACTTTGTGATTCTCATGAAGACTGAATATGCTTCCAAGAAAACTTTATCTAGGATATAAATACAGAGACTCAATCAAATACAAAATAACAGAATTACATCAATACTAGCAAAAAAGTAGTGTATTGATGATATACCCCGTAATAAAATTGAATAAACATTCTACAGTACAAGTAAGAATAATTGTGTGAAAGGTTTTAATTCATGACAAATGTTGCTTATAAATTTAGGCAAGAAAAACTGACATTTACAGTTCTGGTGAACTGCAAATGTGTCTGTATGCTTACCGTATTTGCTCTAATAGTACATAAATTACAGTGATTTTTCTATGTTCAAAATAAGTAATATTTTAATGATTTAGTATACAGCCAATGCAAATTTATATACGCTTCTAATAGAGCAAATATGGTAAATATTATTTACTATATCTGACTGGTTTAAGAAATCCTTAATATATAGAACCACATATCAAGTACCACACTCTTACATTACATGTTCAAGGTATTCATATATAGTTTCTTGTATTTTTGTTGTTGATCAGAAGCTTCCGCTTTTTAAATTTGTATAGCTTTATTTTACAAACTTTTATAAAAGTTTTTTAATCATGTTATCTGAGTTTGTGTTATAAAAAAAACAGTCATGAACTATCAATCAACTTTCTTACTATATAATTTTGTTGTGATTAGATTGCTACATTATGTATGTATTTTGAATCACCATGACAACTAATACAAAACAGCCATTATGGATTACCTCATCTATCATGAAGAGTATATATTTGTCTTCCATTGCATGTACTGTATTTGCTCTATTAGTAGCATATTCACTTGAATGACAAAGTATATAAAAATAAGTTGTATCTAAACTTTCTCGCCCAAATTTTTTCTGCACTTTTTTACTTAGATTCTTCAATATTTTATGTAATGAACCCTAATTTTGGAGCCAACATAAATAATTTCAGTCAATTTTTAGTTTTTACTTAAAAAATTTGGCTGTTTTTGTCCCAATCTTCTGAAGGAAAGTGCAGACTATAAATTTGACTAAATTTGTGATGAAAAGAGAGAACTGGTGATGAAAAGGTTAATGATCTAATATACAAATACATGCAATTGTTAGTTTACATGCAGTTCTAGTGGAGATGTGCTCTAATAGAACAAATACAGTACTATATACTGTAGAATACTTTATTTTCGCTTGGAATTTATTTTCGCTATTTTCGCTGAAGGGATGTTTCCGTGAAAATAAAATCCAGTGAATATACTTTTTTTCCTATATTTCACATTAAACTCATCAAAAATCAGTGAAAATAAATTCCACACAAAACGCCCAAAAAGCCTTTTCAGCGAAAATTTATTCCAGCGAAAATAAAGTATTCCACAGTATTTGTTGTAAATACATTTCTGGTTCAGCCATCCCTCCTGCATGAATCATTTGACCAGTGTCGCTCACATATGTACAAATTCATGAAAGAAATCATGAATGTTTTTTTGTTTACCTGTGATGTTTTTGAAATGTTGGATTTTATATTTATATGTTTTATAAAAATGGTTTGAGAGTGAACTGATGTAATCTTTTATAGAGAAACCTAAGACTAAATTAATCGAGTTCTCTAATCAAAAATATCTACTCGGAATATGATATGTCAAAATCAGAATATTAAACTGAAAAATTATGTAATAACAAAAGTAAATAGTGGATAATCTAGTTTATCCATGTAAACTGATGGTAAAGAATGCCAAATGGTAGTTAGAGAATGTAAACTTATATTAAAGAATATCAAATGCTAAACAGTTACATGTAGAAATAACAACTGTTAGTTGGCAAATGTAAACTACTAATAAGGAAATGTTAACTGCCAGTTGAAACATCTGCTAGTAAAAAAGTATATAAACTGCTAGTAAGAATATAAACTGCTAGTTAGAAAATGTCAACTGCTAGTTAGGGAATGTCAACTGCTAGTTAGGGAATGTCAACTGCTAGTTAGGGAATGTCAACTGCTAGGAAGGATGCCACCTGCTAGATGGAAAATGTCAGTTGCTTGTAAAGAGACTATAAACAGCAAGTTAGGGAAAAAGAATTGGTTGATAGAGAATGTCCACCTTCTAAACGAAATGTCAATCTAGTTAGTAAATGTAAATTGCTAGTTAGAGAATATTGATGAACTTTAGTTGTGGAATGTGAACAGCTAGTTACAAACTGCTAGTTGGGAATGTAAAATCTATTAATTTATGAAAGTGAATTGCTAGATATAGAATGGTAGCTGCTAGTGAAAGATGGTAAAATGCTAATTAGGAAATCCAAGCTATACAGGGATATTGGTTAGCAGATAAGACTAACTAGTTAACTAAATAGAACATTATTTTTAGCAATATTTGAAATACAGGGTATCAGCACATTACAACTTTGAATTGATGTCATTTTTCATCTAATGTATATTTTAATTATAATAAAAACAATCATAGCAACATTCATGGTGCATGGCTCTCATTCATCAATTTTATTTATGTATTTAAGTTTCTTTTTTAATTGTTAAGTGTGGTGCTTGTTTGTGGGTTTTTTTTTCTGTAATATCATCATCATTGCTTAGCTTTTGCTGATAACATGCACTAAACTCTTCTCGCTCCCCCCCTCTAAACACTTGTATAATGGTTTGATCCAGTCACTCTATGATCACTCTCTATTGGATCAGTCTATTACACAAATGGATAAGGGGTATAAGCTGTGTCTTTATTAACCCATAAAATAAACCTGCTCAACCTTTTCTATATTTTGTTTCCAAAATGTTGATCAAGACTTGTATCCAATTAGGAATCATGTCAGTTTGGCCAAAATTAACAAAGAAATTATGATGGAGTTTATAAAAAATATTGTAAAATTTTGGCGGGAAAACTATGGCAGCACAAACTTTGCAAATACATTGCTTTTAATATCAAAATTCTACATATCATATCAGAATAATTTACCAAACTAACATAATCTCTTATACTGTAGAATACTTTATTTTCGCTTGGAATTTATTTTCGCTATTTTTCGCTGAAGGGATGATTCCGTGAAAATAAAATTCAGCGAATATACCTTTTTTCCAATATTTCACATTAAACTCATCAAACATCAGGAAAATAAATTCCATACAAAACGCCCAAAAAGCCTTTTCGGCGAAAATTAATTCCAGCGAAAATAAAGCATTCCACAGTAGTTTAAACTTTTAAAAATCTCAGATTTCAATTCACTAATAACTATCCTCTTTTTCTTGGATTTGTTTTCTCTTTCTTTTTCCAGAAAAACTAGAAGCTGAAGTGCATGAATTGAAGGTGGCTTTAGCAACTAAAAAGTGAGTTCATACTTCTTGTGAAATTCCACTCGATAGTAACTATAAGGAAATGCTTGGTGTATAAATGGGATGTATTAGTAAACATAGCTTATCTTTTCTTGCACATGCACCCGCAGTGTACATTTATGTCTTGTGCATTTGTCAGCTTTTCTGCCTTTATATGTTACCGGTAATAATAAGTTAAAACAGAGGTACATTACATGCGGTTTGCAACTACGGTGCCATTATACCAAGATCCCGTTTCAATCTTGCACTCACATAACGTTCAAACTCAGAAAAATGCGAACGCGCATGCCCGAGGTAACTAGGATACTGGGATGTCCAGGTGGATCAAAATAGCTGTTCTTGATATGGCTGGTTACGATAACTATATATTCTTTACTTTTTCGATGTATTACATTTTTTCACTATGAATTTGGTAATACATGTTTTATTTAATACAAACCGCCTATGTCATGTCAGAAGGGTGTAGCGTTAGTCTCGCTATCTATGAGATGAGACTTGGCATGATGTCACCATACAGTACTATGCGCGTTGCCAACCCCAAGTAATGTACCTCTGGTTAAAATTAGAATGGTTTCAGTGATTATATGTTCACTGTCAACCTGATATAATATGTAAGTACCATTACCCAGAATTATCTTGAGTGAAGCTTTGAGTGTTTGTGGAATCTACTACCCGGTAGTACCTATTACATGTACTTGTATAACTGCCTTAATTTTCAACTTTCTGTGGAAGTTATCAAAAAGTTATTTAGATGTTTTACTTAAAATTTATGGGAAGAAAACAATTCTGTGGTAAACTCACACTTGTATTCGCACACACACTCGCACCATTCACTCTCAATCAATCAATCAATCACTTACCCAGCAACCTCTAACCTGTGTGCCAATTAACCCACCCATTTCAAACCCACCAAAGCTCCTAGAAA